CTCCCTCTCCCTCTCTCTCGGTATTGAAAATTATTTAGGGTTTGGTTTGGGCGTCAAAGAAATAAAAAATCAATTCCCTTTCGTAAATAATCTCCATATCATATCATATCCGGATTCATCGAAAAATTAATCGCCTCTTAAATACCAATTAGGGTTCACAAAAATCCATTTTCTTACTATGATTTTATTCTCTTCACCTCTCGCCTTTCTTATGTGTGAAAATCTTCGTGTTTTCGGTCCCGGCCTCAATCCTTTCTCTCCTTATTGTGTTGATCATTACTCAACTTCTCGCTAAATCGATTTTCTTTTCTTTGAAAACTGAACATGTAAATCTGTCGGTTGCCCTTTTTCTCGCTGAGCTTTTTTGTTGTTTTTTTAATTAAAAAAAAGCTAATTGGATCTTATTGAGGACTTGATTGAAAAAGAACAGGCGCACGCTAATTGTTGGATTGTGTTTGATTTTGGTCTATCTGTGTGCGTGTGCGTATTTTTGTTGAAATTAAAAATTATGCCACAGGAAGATTGTGTTGCTGTTTCGTTGAGGCGTAACTTGTCGAGAAGACGGTCGTTTAGGTCAGTTGGGGGTGTTGACAGAGATGATAGAGGTTGGACTTCGCTTCATATTGGTGCTAGAAAAGGTGATCTCAAACAGGTAATTATTGTATCTTCCTTTCTTCTTTTGGCTTTATTTATTTTCTCTCACTCCTTTTTTTTTTTTTGCTCTGGAGCTTGTTACGTTTGCTACTTGTTGCGACTCTGGTGTTTATATTTATATGATGAGGAGTTGTATAGTTTATATCTTGTTTATGTTAATGGATGCCCTTTAAAGATTTACTTGAGTCTTTTTACGAGTTTGCCATGGCAATATGACGGAAATTTCTTTATAAGCTGCAAAATAGTGTTCTTTCTTTCAAAGTTGTGACCTTGTCTTTAGTTACTGACTTTATTTTAGTGGATTGGAGATCAAAAACTCGTGGCTCAATGAGGATAAAATGTTTGGATTCTTGAATTAGTTAGTTAATCCCCGCTAGTTATTTTGAACAATTATTGGAAGGTTCTGGTCTGATTATTGGTAGCTATTTTGGCATTGAACAACTTTAATTAGCTGGCACCCTAAACACCAAGATGAGATCTTTCGCCATAGAAGTCTCCTTTTCATTTGAAGTAATTTGAGAAAAAAGGTCCCCACTCTCCCTTTATGCCTATGGCTACATTGGATCTTCCACAATCTGCTACATACACGTGCTTTCCTGTAGTTGTTGGTACAATAATCTGTTCTATCTCTCTTCCATTCTAGGGGTGGAAATTAGATAGAAGAATGGAGTTCCTTGAGAGCCAGTCTTTTATTTTGTTTGTGTCATATTATCCTCTCATTTTAACTTTATTTGCTTTGCATCATTGTGTTTGTGTATATTTTCACTTACGCAACCTTCTGTGTAAATATCAAGAGAGGCGCTCTTTTGTACTGAAGGAAGCTGTGCAAAGAATTAGACTGCGGTTATTGTTTGTTGATTGAAGATTTTTTTTAACAGGTGAAACATTTACTCGATGAAGGAATGGATGTTAATGTGCCTGCATGGGGCCCCAAATCAAAAGGCCTGACCGCGCTCCACCTTGCTGCTCAGGGTGGTCACCTTGAGATTATGGATGAATTGCTCGCTCGTGGTGCTAATATTGATGCTAGAACCCTTGGTGCCTGTGGTTGTAAGTATCTTCAACTCATGGAAGAGAGTTTTCAATAACCTAACTCCCTCTTTGCCCTCCTTTATTTATCTTCTCAATTTATATTCTGTAACTGTGGTAGCTGATACATATTTTTTCACATTTCACAGGGACACCACTTCACCGGGCTGCAAAGGAAAGGAAGAAAGAAGCAGTCAAATTTCTAATAGAGAACGGTGCATTCTTGCCAGATGATATGAATGATAGCAGATTTAACCCGCCC